AAGGAAGATTCACAGGTTCTTACTGTCAAGTATCAATTCATTATAATACAAGATTCTAAGTACAGAAGGTTACTATAATTGTGGTTAATAAGTTTCAGTGTTTCGCTGTACTAGCTGGTGACAGGGCAGGTTTGTGATCCCCATTTCAGCTGCAAAGTATACCGAGGCTAAATTAAATATTAGGAAGTACGGATGGCAAGACCACAGATTAACCTTAATTTTGAACAATAGTTTGATTGGATGCTAAAGCAATTAGCATATTGGCCAGCCTGCTAGACTCATATCATGAAGCCTTTGTAATGCAATATTGTGGTTAGAAATACTGTGCTGAAGTGCTTGCTCATTGGGGGTTATAATGAAATAGAAAGCATTTAAGGCTGCAGATGTCTACCCCCCTCCAACATTCCATGGTTAATACAAATTTTAGGTTCATTGCCTTCTAAATCTTTGCAACTTTCAGCATTTAAACCATAACTAACTTATAATAATAATAGACAGTGGAGTATTAATTGTAGACTTTAGGTTCTTGAACTTGCCCCTCGTCTACCAACTCTATAGTCAACCAAACTAGGCAGATAATCAATGCTGATTTTGGAACACAAATTCCAGAATTTATGCTATAAACTAGACTTATGGGGCACTCTTATTGAAGGAGGTAACTTCATGACAGCCCCCCCCCCCCCCACACCACACACACACTGACTCTGGTCCCAAATTCCAGAATTGTGTTGCTCTGCAACCTGACTTATGATGTAACTTTGTTGGGACAGGGTAACTATGCCAGCCCTCCACTGATTTGAATCCACAAAAATCTTGGCACATTTAACAGAAGAAACCTGATGAAACTGTATAAACTCATTAAAAATAACAATACTAAAGAAATATATTTCAATTCCAAAGTTTCTTTTGCTTTCCCCATCAACTACTATAAATAAATTTTATTTTTGAAATATGCTATCAACAGTTTAATGTTACTTTTGACTTGTTTAAAGCATTTATTTAATTCTAGCTGAGAGTCAGTTATTTTTATCCTTATAGTTTCAATAGACCTACCATGACACTTGTCTTTTAATGTTTTAATAGTTTATAATTTGATGTTGTAAGTTAGATCCTATACAAAATAACAAAACTATGTCAGGTTTCATATCAATCAGTCAGTGGGATGGGCTGTCATGAAGGTACCATTTCACAAAAATTGACCCATAATCTAGTTTTTAGTACAGCACAAATTATTTGTGATACAAAGCATTATAAAATCAGCACTAAATATAAACCAAGTTTTATTAAATTTAGAGTTGGGGAGGGGGAGAGATAGTGTTCACAGGCCTGTAGACTTGTGGATCCAGGTGCTTGTAGCCTAGATACACCAGTTTCTTCTCAAACCAAGCACGGTTAACCTTTGTGAAATACTTAAAATAAAAACACTGTTACAAGTAATTAAAATGAGTTTGATATTCAAAAATATTTCAAACTAAAATGTGGCAGAAGATTTATAAATAGGATATATACATATTATAATTCAATAGAAGAAATAAAGAATTATGACACAGTAACAGTTAATTTAAAAAAAATAATGATATTGCTTGTAACAGCTAGTCTTGAATTTGCTAGTGGGACAAAAATAACCTAGCAATCAATTGCTAGTGCACCTCCAAAGGTTAAGGTTGAGGCCAGTATAAACTCCTGCTAATAGGGTTTTTCAACAAAAATGTAACTCTTCAAATTATTCTAAGCTATTAAATGTTTAACAGTATAATTATCTGTATTACTTCATATGTAAGGTAGTCACAACTAAAGAGTACTTGAAATTCTCTATTCAAGTTGCTTGAGTTTTGTTACTGTGAACAACTCTGTATCACAGTAGTTCCATAGAAACATTTAAACCAGAGATTAAACTTACTTACATTGCTCTTTTATTACAATGGTAAAGAATATTGACCAGAACAATAATTTACCAATTGTTACAAGTTTCACTAGTGCCAATACAATATGTTGAAATGCGCAAGACCTGAAATATTTTAAGCTATTACTAATATTCTATGCTAATGTACAAAATTTAAATGATTTCATCTAATAACAATACACTGATAATAACTTTGCAACTTGTAAATATTGATATGAATAATTTATTCCTAAGTAAAGACATTCAGTTTCTGAGGAACAGCTTTCACAAAAAATGTAATGTTTGTAAGTAATATCATAGGAATGTAAATAAATAATCAATAAAAGTTACTTTTGAATTTCAGTTCCTTCATGCATTTTAACTTCAGACGATTTCTTAATTTCCATTCTTCTCTTACTTAACTGTAACGTGTAAGGCTAGAATGACAAGAGATCCTGCTCTCAAAGTCAAAGTGCATTAGTAATATGTAATTAACATGTTCATGCTCTACAGCAAGGAGTTATAAAAATTCTTTTAAAAAAGGAATTGTTTAATTGATGTAACATAAATTGTATACAATGAGAAGAAAAACTATTCAATAGGCTATTAAACTTTTTGTAACTGAAGTTCAATTATATTTGTAATAAGACAATATTATTCAGTTTATTGTATGCTTTAGAAATACATTCTTTGTTCAGTCTCTTAGATTTTCCACAAACATTGTATAAGAGTATTTCAACCACACTGTGTCTGCCAAATAAATTGACAGTGACACATTTGGCTCAATACCACAACTTATGCATACATAATTGATTATAATCATGCTTCACCAGCTTTAAAAAGGCATTTACACCACAATAATTCACTGTTTCACAAGAAACCTTTCCTTCTTTATTAATTGTACAAGTAGATTTAATAGAAGGTTAGATATACCAAGTGTTGTCTGCTGCTTGCTTTACCAGTCATGATTACATATAGGGATTTTTTTATTTCTTTTTTGCATACAATGTAGATAGACTAAATAATTGCTTTCAATGATGAAAAAATCAAAACTTATTTTTAGGAAAAGCTGTTAAAATCATAAATGTTCCTCAACACTCTCATAAAAGTTTAAATGCTTTCACATTTTCAACTTACAAGAGTAATGACTGCTCCAGCAATATCTTTCCAAATTGGCGGCAGTTGAGGTGTATACACACACCTCCATTGCTTCCGTTGTAGCATGCATATTTTATGTTTTTCTTTTTTTATACATGTGTGGCTGGGCAGAGCTGACGAAACATCAATTGAATTGTGCTGGTGAGTTCATGCTGGTAAATGGCCCATCTCCACTACATGCAATATTATATAACTGGTAAAAATATTTATCACATAAACAGGACATTATTTTTGTGGTAAAATGTTATATTAGGTTAACCTTGCATCATTATGTAGATCAATTAAATGTACCTGATGATGCATAGATAACTTGGTGAAATATTGTGAGAACACAAACAAGGCTCTGTTTGTGTGATAACTTTTCCAGTTATTTGGTATGGTTTGTAACAAATTTCTTGCTAAGCTACACAAGGGCTATCTGTGAAAGACTACAGTGAAGGCAGTTAGTCATCACCACCCACTGCCAACTCTTGGGTTACTCTTTTACCAATGAATAATGGGCAAGCATGTTTGGTGGGATTTGAACCAGCGACTTGCAAATTGCGAGTTGAGTGCCCAAACCACGTGGCCATGTTAAGCATTTTTCAGTTATACTGACAAAGTAATTTCTTTAATCAATTAATATTGTATAATGTTTATAAAGGTCAACATTCTAGTAATCTATCTCCAATTGCAAAATATATATTTATAAATATTTCACAATAGTTAACATAATATATAGTGATTTATTTTATGTTAGTTAGATAAGCAATTTTTCAAATAATTTCTTCGCAGTACATTTCAAAATAAATGAGTGGATAAGCACATAAAAATAGTGCATATTACATGCCATTCCATTTAATTATAGGATAAATAAAGATTAATGAGTAATATATTAATCTAAGAACTACGAGAGTGAATTTGCTCAGATGCATGTATTATTACACTGAAGATTGGTGTTTAAATTTTTTTAACAGTATAGTAGAAAGAGATCCATATAGAGACTTCCTTTTCATGATGCTGAAGCATAATTAAAAACGACAAATAACTGAAACTACAAACAGTACAACGTATGCCTTACTCTCTCTCTAATGCAAATATGGCCATTTAGGAGGTATTTCCTCATTTTGCACAAACTTATTTCTATTGCATATAGATATTGTAAATGAACATGCATACAAAATAGCACAAATTTCCTAAATAATACACCATTATAATAGTATTAAGTCATATTCAGAAAACACTACCTAGTAAATGTAGGTTAAGAGCCAAACATTTTTCCTTTACAAACACATAAGAATTTCAAGTTCAAAAACTAAAAAAGTTCAAAGCCTTGCAACCTTAGTTTTATAGCATACATGAAAGTTATAACTGTAGAAATACATCTTCTTTGATCTTTGTCATGTCAAGTTACACTTGTGTAAGCTTCAATTACCATGTGGCATAAAAGTTCAACATCCAAGCAACCCCATAAAAAATGAAAATACAAAAATTGCAATTAACTGCTTTAAAGAGAATGGTCTATTATTTTAACCACTTTTGTCCCGAAAAGACACCTTGTCTCTTAACCCAAGTGATATATTGTCAATGATCAAGCTTCCACCTAAATCATGACACTAGCTAGTTAATTAAGTGGTTATTATTATAATTTATATTCTTAATTAATTTTATTATTTTCTGAGGCTAAGAAATGGGACAAATTATTTGAATCAACATTCAAGTATCCTACTGTACTTTTTCTGTAATTTTTGGTCATGATCTACATCTTTGTACTTTAGTTACATACTACACGATGATAATCATACGGTAATGTGTGCGAACAAGCCAATTTCTAACTACTCAGACACCACCTCCATGTTCAAGAAATCAACACAGTGCTTACATATTAAAATAATCAAATACGTCATATGACTTCATACGTCACAGATCGTGTTTTTTCATCGAGCTATAGCGCCACCTAAGGATAACTTTCCTTAATTTTGGTTGTGCGAGATTGAAGTTGTTTGAGTGAGGTGTGGTGAGTGAATTGCGCAGTATTTTATTTTCTAAACTTATATATTTGCTTTATAAAATATATATTTTTTAACAAAATGATATTTCTTTCTTGCTACTGATTTTTCAAAGATACGTATAGAAGCAGTAGTAATGTAGTTAGTTTAGGCAGTTTTAACAAAATGTGAACCCTAAATTTAGAAAACGTTTAGGCGGTTGCTGCCATTTTCCTAGGCGCGAATTGTAGCCCCAACGAGGGCGCCACTTGCAGGAGAGTATCTGTATTCAAACAAAGAGCGCTGCCGTTTAAATAACTGAAATGAATGTTTTGTGATTAAATAACAATACACTTTTGCATGTTGTTTTTAGTTTATTGTATAAAAATTACCCACTTGTTATGAGGAACATGCCAACCGAAACCTCAAGTTTTGTAAAAATGTAAATTGTTTTATCGTTAACGTTTAATTCATCATAATTATTAATAAATTATTACTGGCTTTACTCTAGACTTGCCTAAATTATTTTTGTATTCGTGCGAAAGACTTAAGTCATAAAGAAACTTATTAGCGAAAGTGCACAAATATTTTTGCTCTAATTAAGAACACGTTTATCATAGTTTACTGTGTCACAATAGTATAATATTATTAATAATATTACTAGTATTAGGCGACGTCTGTCGACACGAAAGTTTTGGCATTAAATAATTAATAATGACATAATAAAACGTTTATGCGTAAAGTAGTTTATTATTGCTAATGTTTTAACTTATAAAGTGAAAATTGAAATTTTATTTGGATTAGTATTGTCACTTAGGCTTTTAAATTTTAAGTTTTTAATATTATTTGTAACCTAAATGTAATTAAAACACATTTGTACCACAATTAGATTACAAGCTATATGTTTCATATAACTTATTAAAATTAAGTTTAAAATATTAATGCATTCAAATATGACTTATAGTTTCAAAGAACTACTGATACTAAATTCTTGAAAAACATTTGATGATGAGTTGTGTTGACACATGTATTTAGTTAACATCTGAACAATAAATAAACTGTTATTTTCATATTTTCTGAATTTACTGTTATTAATTCATGATATTTGCTGTAATTTGTAATACATCAGTGTATTTAAATTCAGTAGTTTAAATATGAAATGCCAGATAAGTGAAAGATGAAAAATATAATTTATAAATTATCTAACATCAAGGAACCTTTTGACACATCAAGGATATCCATACTGCCAAATTCATTCAACAAATAAAGAACTAATTACTAAATCCAGTCATGTTCCTCCAAGTACTCATCAGTTATTTTTATCAATTTATCCTGGGTTTATGCAGTGCTGTTCTATCCACTTTAATTAACATTTCAGCTACAATTTGAAAAATGACAGTTTTAATTTTTTCCTATCATAAAATAAGATTTTCACAGTTTTAAGTTAATTTGTTAGAAACTATTTAAACTTTGTAATGCTCATGGAACTTTGTATTCATAAGTACTGTATAATTTTTAAACTATATGTGGAGTACATGATATTTATTATAAAAAAAAAGTTTCAGGAATTGAAATGAGTATCCATTAGCATGATGGCAGGAACAAAGCATTCAGTTCCCACATCCAAAAAGAAATCTATGAAAAGGCATTCACTGCCTTATGGCCCACAAAAGAGAGTGGAACAGCAGAGAAGAGCATCTACATCAACTGCTAGGTCAGATGAGGCAAAGGAAGAAAAGGTTACAGGTGGAATGGGTAGGTAGTAATGTACATATTGAAGAACTTATAAGAGATTAAGAGTATATGAAGTCAGAACAACAAGTAAAAAACTTTGGTGGGGAATGTGAGAGAAAGCAAATGTAGAGAAGGATGACAAAGTTCTGCATAAGGCAGTGGTAATGATGGTTTTAAATCAGCCCTTGTGGACAGGATATGTCATGAACTTTGACAGTTGTATCAAACTTGTATTATTTTCTATACAGAAGTCTTTTGGACTTCACCTTATCAGAGTTATTGAGTCCGTGACCTACACTATGCTTCTTACTCTCTAATTCATTAAATTTGACTCTTGCTGAAATTTTTTATTTTGTTACAAAAAACTGTAGTCTGAATGTTAGGCAGTTATAAAAATTTAAGTGTTTCAGAAATGTTAAGGTAGTGTTGAAAAGCTGTGATCGTATATCAGTTGTGGTTTTAGATCGATAAAAATGGCAGGAAATATTAAGAACTTTGACAGTTACAGAACACCTGTGTTCCTAAATGTACATATAATTTTGTAAGTGATTGATTATGATTCTAGTATTCACTCATTTGAAATGTTGAAAATTTTCCCAGCAGTTTAGGAAATAGGAATGATAAAATTTGTGTTGAAATCCTGGCCAATGAAGTAACACTATTAAAATATGTATGCAGTTGATTGCAAAGTGGTGGTTCTTGTGGAAAGATTAAGAAGTAAAATGAACCAAGAGTGGTAGGCCAGAATGTCTTTTCTTGGTGTCATCGAAATAAGGAAATAATAGAGGATTTTGTTTTCTGTATACACATGGTATTATAGGAGAGATGATAATGGAAGAAAAATATGCACCAACCATATGAAGTGAAAATTATATACTTTTCAATGTATTTTTGTTAGACTTTAAGAATTTTACTTAACTTATAAAAAAAAAAACATCTATAAAGCAAGGTTTAGTGTATACAGTCATCACACACAGAGGCCGAGGAATTTGAAAATAGAATAAAGAAGTTAAAGGAAAATTGTTGTAGCTCCCCCCCCCCTTTTTTTTATGTCGGAGCCTGCATGTGCAAACAACTCATTCTTCTTAGCTATTTAAGTCGTTGGTATATTTTAATAAATTTGTGGTCAGTCACTCAACGTTATTTTATCTGATAATAATTATCTTATTCATTATATATGATAACAGGTGAGATCAAATATTCTTTTAAAACCAGCAATGCAACATTTCATTGTGTACCGTCAGGTTCCAATATCCTTGTTTGATTATCATTTTTTCTGTAGTATCATAGTCTGAAGTAAGAATGTTTTGAAGTTTTATTCCCTTTTATAACCAGATTACAAGCTAAGGTGAAGTAGTATGATAGAATTATAAGGAAGAGTTAGAATATCAGTGTGTTATATATGTACAGGTCTGAAATATGTGGAATTTTACTTGCAAAATAAATCTGGGAATAATATGGCCATCTTGTTCTGTAGAAAATTTTGGTATGCACATAAAATATATTTTTTTTTACAAATGTACTGTACAGTGTATAAATGCTATATTTCATTTATTTATATTGTATATTTTGCATTTATTATGTTAAGGATGTCCATGTTATAACTGCTGTATTTTTTAGCCCTAATTTACATTTCATATTTTGCATTTAAATATTTAGAATCTCTAGGAAGTTGCTTGCTAAATAGTAAATTTCAGTGTCAAACTTGTTGATCGCAGTTTCTTAAATGTCATTCTTAACAGTAATGAAAGTGAGAGAATATGTTTAACTGTGCTATATAAATGTTGAGGCATTGCATACCAGAATGTTAAGTGCTTACTATATGTGTGAAAATTTTACTGTAACTATCCTTTTTCATATACAACAATGTGAATTAATACCTTTGAGATGATTCTGAGAACAACTTGTCATGTTTTTGTGTGCAGATCACCTGAAATGTGGGCGTTGTGGATCAGTTTTTCACACACTTACTACCTTTATTAATCACAAGAGTATTGGTTGTCGGCCAAAAAAGCCATCAACTTTTTCATCTAAAGGTAAGTGGTTCTGTGCTTTTTGTGGTGCAGTGATGGAAATTTTGGTATCTCTCTCTCTCTCTTCTTTTTTTAAATTACATTTTTTCATAATTTATGTTATTTAATCCATTGTCTCTTGAATGCTGTATCTTGATTTATTGTTTCTTTATCTGAAAGTCATTGAGTGATTCTTATTGTATACTGTGCATTCTTTCTAAACTTTATTTTTGATTAAAATAACTGTTAGTTTCAGTAATTAATATCTGCATGGGTTCAATAGATTTGAACTATCTCGCGACCACCAAAAATTTAGAAAATAAACATAAATTATGCCTCTTTCATTCTAGAATGAACACAAAAACATAAA